TCGCTACATTACAGCAAACCTAAGCTTGTTTTTCCTATTCTATAAAACTGACCAAACAATGATCTTTGGCCACATAATATCTATCTAATCTATCTGTGTCTGTATTTTCTTCAACTACCTTTTTTAATGTTTTATTTATTTATTTTCAGAGAGAGAGAGCAAGGGAGGGTCAGAGAGAGAGAGAGAGAGAGAGAAAGAGAGGGAGGGAGAGAGAGAATTCCAAGGAGACTGCACTGTCAGCACAGAGTCTGATGTGGGGCTTGAACTCACAAAGTGTGAGATCATTACCTGAGCTGAAACCAAGAGTCAGATGCTTAACCAACTGAGTCACCCAGGGGCCCCACTTCAACTACTCTTGTACCTATGTTTACATCAATATCTACATCAGGGATTCAGTTAGAGACCCACTCAAGCAAGCTTAAATGAAGAGAGACTTTTTGTAAGCATAAGATAGATACTGCAGATATCTACATGTGGCGAACATCTATTTCTTTATCTGCTTGGCATTCTTCCCTTCTTTTTCTGTGGAAATGTCCCTCCCCTTCTGACTTCAAAGTTGTAGTTCCAAAGTCCCCATATTCTTACAGTCTAAACACATGACCATACTTAGGATAATTAGGAACAATCTCAAGCTGTTTTCAAACTAGAACGTACAGAACAGAGACTGTTTCTATCAGGCAACAGCACTATGAGAAGTGAGTCCCCAAAGGCAAAATATCTGTTACAACAACTATAACAACAGCTGATATTTGTTGAGTTCAGACACTGCAAGTACTAAGCACTTTAAATGTTTTACAATCCTATCTTTAGTCACCACATTACATAAGTGAGCAAACTATAACTTGGAGTTGTTAACCAAGCCTTAGTGCGTGTGAGGGATGGTATGGTATTTGAAGTCAGGCAGTCTGATCTTAATCTGGTAAGATATTTTTAAAGTTTATTTATTTTGAGGGAGTGGGCCAGAGAGAGCAGGAGACGGGCAGAGAGAGAGGGAGAGACAGAATCCCAAGCAGGCTCCATGCTGTCAGTGAGGAGCCTGATGCAGGGCTCGAACTCGTGAACTGTGAGATCATGATCTAAGCGGAGGTCAAGGTTCCACCGCTTAACTGACTGAGCCACCCAGGCACCCCAGTCTGGTAAGTTTTAACAGTACCTTCCCCTCCTGCCACTGACAATGGTGTGAGAATGTGATGTACCTCACACAGGAGTTAGTCAAGAGTATCTGGTGTATTTGAGTCTGTGGCTCCAGTTGTTTCTCAGTTATGGGTACATGAGTGGTCCAGCCTCTGCCCTTTCTATTGTTTGTTTAATTATTCCTTTAATTCTGACAGAAACTCTCATTCTTCCAGTAAGTCTCGGCTGCCTCCCCCCACGCCTGCCCCAACCTAGTTTGAATTGGTTGCTGATACTCCAAGGAAAGGAAACAGTAAAGGTGAGTCCCTCAGAGATGGACAGAGGATTTGGGAAACCAAGATCCAGGGTTGCTCTTTCTCTCCCAAGGGGCAACAAGTCTCCATTCTTTCCCCATCCTCTCTATTCTTTAGATCTCCTGCCCCCCCGCCCCCGGTCCCTCTGTCTCTCAGCCTGGCTTCACTCATCTATACATTTTACTTTCAATGGCCAAGACTTTTATTTTTCCCTCAGTTTTTTTTTCCTTTTTCCCCTATATACTATATATCTCCTTTTATTACTATTTATTTTTCATGACCTGAGCTGAGGTCAAACACTTAACCAGCTAAGCCACCAGACGCCCCTACAATTCCTTTTAAATGGATCATGAAATAACATATACATGAATGAGTCCTTGTTTTAACATCTGGGCAGCAAATAACTTAAGCTAATGAAGCTCATGTTGGAAGGGGAAATGCCTAGGACAGGGGTAAGAGTAGGAAGTGTGAGAGCAGTGAGAAGAAAAGGAGTCGTTTTTAGATTTGTTCTGGTCTACTCAGCAGACGAAGAATCAACAAAGACCATGGTACAGATTGGAGGCCTCTTCTCAATCCTAGCAGTATTGTGCACATCACTCATTTAGAACTCGTTCTAACGTGTCAAGTGTTTTTTGATACGTTATTAAAGTTTGGGCTCCTTTAAGAAATTCTGAAGAAAGTTGGCTGGAGCCATGAGAATTGGGTTTTAGTCATACTATCTCTGTGCCCCAAACTCAATGTTTATATAATAAGTATCTTAACTCCTGGCCTTTCTACTTTAGAAAATCCATGAGACATGAAATTATATAATTAATGTGACTATCTGTAGAAAAACTGTAAAGATATAGTTAAACATGGGAAATATGTTTTTTAAATTTATTTATTTATTTTGAGAGACAGAGGGAGCAGGTGTGAGTGTGTGGGGGGTTGGGGGCGGGGGAGAGACAGAGAGGGAGAGAGAATCCCGAGCAGGCTCCATGCCATCAGCACAGATCCCGATGAGGGGCTCGAACTCACAAACTTCAAGATCAAGACTGAGCCGAAATCAAGAGTCAGGCATTTAACTGACTGAGACTTCCAAGCACCCCATGAGACATGAGACATGATTCTCAACCTGTGTTTTATTCAGAATAAGCAGTCAATATATTCTATACAATTAAGAAACTATTATTTCAGCAGTTCATTCAATGTGACTAAAAGAAGATTCAGCCACTAAAATAACAGATTCATTATGACATCTTGAAAGCATTTTATTATATGATAGATAGACTAGAGATGATAAGATCCATCACTGTTACTATAATTCTTCCTCTGTCCAATATATTTTCCACCCTTCAAAGTGTAGTTCATGAAAGATGTCAGAAAATCCCCTGCAAATGATGCATTTCTTTTAACTGCTATAACTTTGTCTGAATTATACAAATCGACTATCATAAAGGAATGTACACTTTTTTAAGACAGCAACCATAGTTCACTGAGCACTATTCTGAGTAACTCAATAAACTCTAAAAATACTATTTCTGAGTCATTTCCAATCACTGAACTGGTCAGCATCTTTAAGGCAAAGTCTTGCATCTATATTCACTCTTACATCAATTACCACTGTGCCATTTTGCATCCCATTTATGATAAGCCAAGTAGATACAATTGTTCATTGCAAATAGCATCTGCTCAGCATCCCTTCAACATTATTGATTTTCATTATTTAAAACTGCATATTATTCACTGCAAGTTACACAGTATGTTTCTTTCTCATTTCTATCACTATGCTGATACTTAAAATGATCAGAAAAAAATTCCCAAATGGGTAGAGTATAAAGTGGTCAGAGCCTGATGCCTTAGCAAATGGTAAATGTCTGAGTGAACTGGACAGGGGAAAGAAAGGAGGGACTAGGCATTGGTTAATAGAGAAGAATGGCCAGGGGACATAGAGAGTGCTACAAGTTTTGTCGGAGTTAGGTTGATCACCTGGTGGAAAATTAACTTGAAGGAAAGCATTTGCAGCAGGAGTGTTTTATACTGCTTGTGCATATCGGTTCCTTCATTCATTACATATTTATCTAGTACCTACTGTGTGATGACTACTAGAGTAGCCTCTGTGGATAAAATTTATTGTTTTTGTTCTTAATTGGATGCATCTTTAAACAATGCAGCAAGTACATAATGGATCAAGGAGAGCATAATGAAGGTGCTTTAGGGTTTAGGTGTGTATGGAAGGAGGGGGGCAGTTCTCTACCTGAAGGAAAGATTTTATACCAGTAGACGGTGTTTGTAAACTTCTTTCCAGTATTTTTCTTTCTAAACACTTGCCTTTTCCTTTGTTTATATTTTCCACATCAGAAGTGGGTAAATATTTTCAATAATGTATTACTATGACTAAAAATTTCCTTAAGGTTTCATGTGAATCTCAAGCCAGAGAAGTGTAAGGCAGGAACTGGCAGTATGCTGTCTTGGAAAATTGCGTATTATAAAAGAAAAATATCAACATCTACAATAACCAGTGATGCTTTCATTTTATGACTGGTATGACTATAAAAATTCAAGGCACAAGGTAGCAATATTTTACATAAGTACTAATAACGAAATCCTTTATAAGGGAATATCTTTCTTCACATATTGTTCTTAATAGCATCTTATAACTAGACAACATATTGTATTTTCTTCTGCAATTATCTAAATATTGATAAAGTTGATAAAAACTAGTATAAGCCAGCAAGATAATTCTAAGGTATCATTAGAAACCGATTAAAATTGAAAATGATACCTAAATGCTTTCAAAAATGCATGAAACAGACTGATTGATCCACTTAAATTACACGCAGGCATAAATAATCACCACTCTACAAATTACCACAAGAACAATGGCTAGAACAGAATTGACGGGGATAAGCCATTGACTTGGATATTAGATACCTAGAAAAAAAATCTATTTATAAATCATTTTTCCAAAACTAAAGGCATTTACCCAAAGTAAATGTAAAAAATCTCTAAGCAGATACAATTTCAAATTTAAATTTATTTTCTAAAATTCATGATATTTTAGTATGTTATGAAGCATCATGTATAAGTTTACTCCAGCCAAAATAAATTTATGTTAAATAGGCAAGGCGAGCCTAGCCAACATATTTTGGTTAGCTAACATAATTTTTTAAAGCTGCTATATTTTTAAATTGTTAGACATATATAACCATATAAACATCAAATAGAGCCACAAAAGGAAGTTCAAAAAATATTAAAATGTCATAATGCTAACATGAATATTTACAGGGATTTTATTTTGGTCGATGTGACTAGGAAAAGGATATGAAAGGAGGAAAGATAATACAGGCGAGCAGAAAGTAGACTAGTCTGCTACTAATGCCAACATTCAACAACAAACTTACTCCTCAGAGGGTAAGAAGGAGGAAGAGAAAGAAACCTAAATAGGACTGAATTCAAAGTACTGGAAGAGGAATATTAACAGAACTAATTTGAAAGAACAGGCAATTCACAAATTGAAGGTTGACTACCAAGAGATATAAAAGTATATGAATATGAATGTTGGTAGATTAATCAAAACAAAACTTTGCAGGCCATTAAAACTGAAATAAAATGATTAGAATCTTAATTATTTGGGGCAGGTTTTCTGAAGTTGGGTTCAATTTTTATAAACTATGCCTGTATTTTCTACCCTATGGAGAAACACAACAATCTTGAGCAACTAGTGCCCCCCATCTACTTCTGAAATCAAAACTCTCTTATCTATCAATTTCATAGCAACTGTGCAATCAGGTTCCAATCAGATTCCATTCAGCCATGCCAGGTTTGGCTTATGGGTATGGATATGTGGTGGGGGGGGGGGGGGAAACTGAAGAGATGAAAGAGACATTATTACTTTCTCAAGTAGAGAATGGGAAAGGCCAGGAGTATTCTTTAAAGAAGAAAGAGCAAACAAGTACTTCGGAAGTGTCAATTTCTGCAGCCTCTTCATAAGCTTCATTGGCCAGGAGCAAGTCCTCCAGCTCTTCTTGCAAAGTGTAAAAAGCAAGCTAAACCATTCCCTCTGCTTTCCCCTCATGCCCTGCCCACACATGGTCCAATCATCAATCACCATTTCTGCCCAAGGGCAGTCGGCACTGGTGCAAAAAAGGAAAACCAGGAGGGGTGAAGAGGAGGGATTGGTTAAAGAGAGAGCTTCCCAGGAGTTCTATGGTTGCTATAGTAACAGCTTCTTTTGTTTATACATACTCAGAACAGCTGCTTCCTTTGGGTTTCTGGTGGCAGGGATATTATAAAGGTAACTGACAGGGGAAGAAGCACCACTCTGACCACGGAATGGTTAACATAGTGAGATTATTCTTATTTAACTGGGCTTAACTTTATATTTGGGTTAAATGGGGGTTTCGAATGTTGGCAACCAGATGTTTTAAAAGATGAATTCCACCAAAGAAAGAACTAGGTGCGCTAGGACCTGCAAAATGTCTTATGCTAATCTGAACAAGACATCCACTCTCTTGTGCCTTTAAAACTCAAAACTCTCCATTCTCTTTTTACCTGGTGTGCAAACTCCCTGGGAGGTATTTTTCTTCTGTGGAAATACCCACAAATTTCTGTTCACCTTTCCAAGTCCTAATTAATTCCTCTAATTAGAGCTTTTTCTGGGTGCAACTATTTACAAAAGTGAAATGCTGCTTAAAAACAAATTTAATGAATTCTCACAAACAATATTCATTGAGTTAACAGTCCTGCTGTCCACATACTGCTATTACAACTAGCCTATTAAGGCCTTCTATAGATCTTGGTAAAGAAGGGCCATCTCCAAAGGAAAGGTAGAGATAAATATGGAACAAATGAGGTATCTATCTAAGTAATATGAACAAATACAGTTTTATTTTAAGGAAGATACCCTACCAACATATGTAAAGATGTATATGTGCATGTGTACATGTGTGTATTTATATGCATATGTGTGTGTGTGTGTATGTGTGTATGGAATAAAGTAGAAACCCAATGGGTTAAAAATATTGAAGCAGGATATTAAAAATTGCATCTGCTAGTTGAGTAGTCAAATTTTGTAAACACACAAACTTAAGATGCAAATAAGCAAAACAGGAGGAACAGATGTCCTTATAAACAAATTAATATTGTACATAGGTGTACTATCGTGTTTCTGATCCTTTGGGATTTTGGAAAAGTGCAATATGAAAGCAAAACGATGCTCCTGTTTCTTAATTAAAATTTATTCATCATTTGCCTAACAAAGGCTTTTAAACCTTGAATTTTTAGTAAAGTCCATGAAATATTTGGTTGGTTTCATTTGCCAATCTCAGGTATTCAGAGGTGGTACATCTTAAGCCCCAGTTGTTGCAATTTGATTACATATTTGCTTGAGAATAGTCATTACAATCTAGTCACTTTATCTCTACACAGCATAAAATCCGAGTGAACAGACTGATTCAAACTGGGAAGAAATCTAGAGAACAGTAAAAATGTTTATTTAATTAAATATAGAATTCTTGAATATTGCTATTGGATCTTGTATATTTATTTGACTTATTTAATAATGGTATTTTAGAATCCAAAGACTGTATAAATTTCAATCCATTATAAATTACTAAAGATGAGATTTGAGTCCAAAAGCAAGCACAAGAATTCCAATTTCTCTGCTTTCTGACACCTTCATTTGGGGAAAATGGCTTAACCTCTTTAAGTAACAGTCTCAAAAACTACAAAACAATGGTACTAACACCTTTGAGGTATGTTTCTGAGAGAATCAATTAAGATAAGGCAAAATCACATGGTTTGAAACTGTAAATATCCTATGATACTGCTCTAATAATAAATATTATTATGAGAAAGTATCCAGTTTTTATTTTTCATCTCACAAATTTTCACTTTTACTCTCTTCTCAAGTCTTGTGTATTACAATATGGTGATGACATTCAAATCTCTTAACTTAGTCAAATTTTCTTCCAAACTCCAGACCTGAAGTTTCCAAAGGTGAGGTCAAATGCCATTGCTGTAGGAAGTTTTCCTCAATTCCTTCCCCCACATTAAGGGAGACCTACGTGGTCCTTTCGTACTCACGTTTGGCTTTATGCCATTTTTCATGTTTGTGTATTTCTGATTGTCTTGAGAGATTTCTAGACATATTATTTATTCAATTTAGTTTTCACTCTAGCAACTATGAAAATGAAGTTTAATGTGGAAGCTATTTTAAATGATTATAATTTCTACAAATTTAAACAGTTTTCAGATAACTATGTATAACTTCTGATCTATCAATAAAGGAAGTCTAGAAGTGGTTTAGATTTTTTTTAATCTTTTGTCTGTATGTTCAGAATGTTTCATTTGAGTATTTTATGGATAGCTTTAAAATTACTTGTATAATTCTATGTAGTTTACAAAGAAAACTATTGCTGGAATATACCCAATGAGTAGTTTTGGCTCTTAAAAACAAATGTGCAAGGAAGAACAGGTTTTGAGGACAGCTGATGCTCGAGACTAAGGTATCTATCTGAGCACCCTGTTAAGTGGCCAGTTGAAGACAATAAGCCTACAAGTGGAGGTACAGAAGTATAAAGGGAAGAACCCGTGTCCACAATGACATGGTTGAGCTGCTGAATTGTCAACTCTGGATCTGTTCTACCTACAAAAACTTCGTGTTACATAAAACAATGAATCCCTTGTTGTATAAGCCCCTCGTAAACAAGTTTTCTGTTACTCTTGGCCAAAGACATCATAAAGAATGGCACAGGAATTCAGAGAAATGAGGTGATAATAGACCATGAGATCCCAGGGAAAGAAAGGGGAAATTAAGAGAATAGAGTCACAGTGACTTTCAAATTCTTATGAACGAGGCTATACTTCTTTTGATTAGTCATTAATTTCCCTTTAATCTTTAAAATATATCCCTATTTTATTTGAGTTAGTAAATGGATTTCAGGTTCTTGAATCCAAACAATCCCTAAAAAAGAAAACACACTTTATCACATTCAGTCATCATAACAAATAACTCTATAGGTAAAATACAAATATATACTCCATTTTATTTTTACTTTAAAAAAAAAAATTAAATGGGAGACACAAAATCCAAAGCAGTCTCCAGGCTCTGAGCTGTCAGCAAAGAGCCCACCATGGGGCCCGAACTCAGGAACCATGAGATCATGACCTGAGCCAAAGTCGGACACTTAACCGACTGAGTCACCTGGGTGCCCCAGTATTTCCTCCATTTTAGAGATGAGAAAACTGAGAATTGCAAAGTTCAATGCCAGTAAACACAGGAAAGTCTGAACTTGAACCCTAGCTATTCTTTTTCACCATACTTTGTCCTTCCATTGCATTCATTTTATTGCCTCATTATACTCTTTACAACTTCTCCAGTAACATCAATTGTATTACCTCTTGGCTTCACAAAAATGAAATCTTTTTTAACCTTTATCCTTTCTTTGTTCTAATTCATGCAGTATAGTATAGTTTCTCCTTTTCAAGTATTTATTAAATCTATCTTCCTTTTCCTCACTTTCCATCGGCCACAAATGTTATTAAAGTCAAGTGAGTACCAGAGCAGCCAGCTCAGATATAGCTGGAGACACATCAATCTGTTTCAAACCTAATATCCTCAAAGCCCTATTTCAATCACATAGAATCAATAGTGGAGGCCAATTAGGACTATAATTAAACTAAATATGACCTTATCGTTTACATCTCCAGCATTTTGCCTCCCCTTTCTTTCTCCTAATTTAACAAATTCAATGCATTAAATATTCATTGTGTGTGTGTCAAAGTGAAAGATACTGTCCTTGTCTTTGAGCCGCTTATACAGTGGAGGAGAAAGACACATATACAGCTCAGACAAGAAAACCACCAGTTTCCATTCTTCCCATACACAGGGAAAATGGATCCCCACACAGCTAGCTTCATCACCTTCTTGAAGCTTTGCATCTATTTTTTTCCTGGTAGCCAATTGTCATCGTTTTACCTTAACTGGATCAGTTCCTCAATCATTATAGTGACTTTTACCTACATTTATACACAACGGTACTTGGTGAATTCCTCTACCGTATCAGAATTCTTCCTAGAGCAAATAAAAATAGCTATACTTTCTTAAATTAAATGATAAATTTGTAACAGTCAAAGGATAGAGATTGTCTGTCCTCCAGTATCAAAAAAAGAGAGTCCTTGAAAGGAGACAACATGTCTTGCTAAAAATAAAAATAAATATGCATGTCAAATCAATATTTCCCATATCCTAAACTGGGAATTTCTGAATCTATAATACTCACAAATTTTGACAAAAATTTATAGACGTCTCCTTGAACTTTCATTAATTTATTCAATATACGTGTATTAAATAGGTATTTTAGATACAAAGACAAGAAACGAGTTACTAGGCTTCCAGGAATTTATAACCTTGTAAAACAAATAATTCTTTTCATACCAAGGGAAGATTTCCAAATAAATTCTTAGTGGACACTAGCTTCTGTTTTCTCTGGGTCCCCTAATCTAGCAACTCACAAGAGCAAGTTTAATCTGACAGTTTTCAATGGTCAAAAAACTTATATAGTTCAGTCAATATGAAACTAAAAGCTCCTTGAATATTGCAGTTACAAAAAAAGTATCATTCTACATAATTCCAGTATATCTTTACAAGGAGCAGTAACACTTTTAGGAGTTGTGTCCTACCAACATGGACTAAAGGTTTTGTCAAACGACAGTGAAAAAAGGGGGAGTGTGAATTGTGTTAACTTATGACTCAGAAATAAAATGAAACAGAAAGCACACAGAGAAACAAACATAAATAAATACCTCCTAAATCAAAACCAGAAACAGAAAGGGTAGAAATGAATCTTTTTATACATTTGAGATCATTCTTCATATTGTAGCTAGAATTAAACTTTTATCAGAATCAGTATTATCACAAGACAATACTTAGGATCCATCAATTCTGATTATCAGCATTTTATAGATGTTTAAAACTTTATTACTAACCATTCAGTTTTTAATGACAAAATTGATTTGCAGTGAAATGCCTTTCGTTAAAAACATAGTAGGGAAGAACAGGGTTTTTTTCCTCCTTAGAAAAAAAGCTGAAGTTTATACTAAACGGCTACCTATTCAAAGAATTTCATCTTGGGAAAAGGCTTACCTAAGTGGTGGTATTTGCCGCTGTTCTATAACACTTACCCTGTAGGTAAGGTGGGAAACCTCAAGTGTCTTTTAACTTGGAGCCCTAAGATTTAGTGCCTTATGTGCCACAAGCAAGGCTGTTCCCAAGATGGAATTGGCAAGTGGATGCTCCGCACTTTCTGTAGTGAGAAGTCAAGTTGTAAGAAGATTCCTTTAAACACAAACCTAATAGAATATTGCCCTCATACCAACCTGTTTATCATAGAAAACTTGGAATATGAAAATATATTGAAAAATTTATGTATAATTCTACCAGCCTGAGGTGAATGCTACAAATATTTTGGTGTCTCTTCGAGTCTCCTCATTTGTGAATGTGCACATATCTATTTACGTATAGCTTTAGAGTAATTTTTGTAAACATTATTTCAATGGTATTTAACAATGATAACTGATTTTTTGTAAACACCATTTTAATAGTAGCATAAGATTTCATATGTATGATATCTAACTTAACATTTTCTCATTTTTGAACATTAACTTATCACCAGGCTTGACTGATGTAACAGTGATAAACAGCACTGTACAGAAATTTATGCCACTCTTGAAATAATTTTCTTAACATATAATTTTTGAAAGATAAATTAATGAATATTTTAAAGACTTTAATGCATATCATCACATTCTTTGCTAGAAATACACTGCTCCCCTACTTTGTGTCCTCTACATCAGGGAGCATTACCGTTTTTTCAAAATATACTAGTTTAATTAAAAAAGAAAATCTGTGTTGGTTTTTCTTTGATTAATAGTAAATCTAATGTCACTTTGAGCTGTCTCGTACTTTTTATTTCACTGTCCTTGTATTTTACATAATGTTTTGAGTTTTTGAGATTACATTGTCATTAGGACTTGCTCTTTGTTGCGCAGAAGGCTTTCCTCTTATTGTCTACTATGCTTTCCTTTCTACTCATGTATTATCCTTTGAGAAGTCATTGAAAATTTGTGGTTCTGAGCTACAGAACAGAAATTGACTAAAAATGGTTTCTACAACAAGAATAGCTTCCCCACTGAGTAATCAAATGGTATAAATAAAATGGCTATTAAAAGGAAAAAGATAAAGAGAAAGGAAAAAAAGAGAGTATAAGATACAGAACCAGGGAGAAGAAAAGTAGAAAACATTTTTAGGGACAAAATGTTTATTGTTTTTGTTTATTCATTGAATTTGAAAGAGAGTGTGTGTGTGTGAGCTGGAGAGGGGTAGAAACAAGGAGAGAGAGAGAGAGAGAGAGAGAGAGAGAGAGAGAGAACCCCAAATAGGGTCCACACTGCCAGCAGAGCCCAATATAAGGCTCAAACTAACGAATTGTGAGATCATGACCAGAGCAGAACTCTTGAGTTGGATGCTTAACCAACTGAGCCACCCAGGGGCCCCTGTTACACTTTTTAAGCCATCAATATTGCATACCAGTCAACTCGAACTTCTTGGTGTCTGTTCATTTGTTGTTATACAACTCCATTCTCTATTTTTTTTAAACTACTACTGGTATAAGTTAGTGGTGTAAGTTAACATACACTTACTTTGTACTGTCAGAAATAAACTGTAGATTGAAGCTGGTTTAGAATGGAGGTCAGGATTGTGGATAGGAGAGTCAAGGGCCCAGGCATGGACTTGGGCATATCCCCGAACAATTATTTAGGTTCTCCGTGCCTGATTTTACCATAAGACTGTTGTGAAGATGACAGAGTGAACACATGGAATGTACATCAAACAACGCCTAGCTAATGATAAATACTTGATACATACTGGCTGTCAATGATTAGTAGAGCTGAGATCTTAGTAAAATAAGGTATGAATTTAGTGTTATCATTTATTTATTCAGCAGACATTTATTGAACATACACTACTCTCCAGACCCTGTGAGAAGTGCTAGGAAAATAACTGATAATTTCTTAATGAACCTGCTCATATGTCCTCTGGAGGAGGTTTACTATAGGCATCACAAGAACACAACCCACATGCACAAACTCATTTCTAGGGAGGCCAATCCACTGATTAACACAAATGATCTGAGCCAAACCAGCTCCTCTCTGGGAAGTGTAATTAGAATAATGAAAGACTGACCCAATTATCTTTGCATGAAGAGTTGAGAGATATAATAAAAGATATATTGATTTAAAGACTGCATTTAGGACCAAGTACAAGTGAAAAATGCTGGTAGGAGGGGTGAGGAGAGAGAGAACGAGAGGCAGAGGAAATAGAGGAAGAGAGAAAAGAAAGAGAAGACCGTGGAGTTGCAGAGGGCAGATCAGGAAAGAGAAGAGAAAGATGACAGGACAGGAGACCATGGAGCCTCTGAATGAGAGTTGTCCAGGATTTAACAGTTCCTCATTTCCTTTCCATGGGATGTGGATGACACATTCGTAATATATGCCATAATATTTCACTTCATACTATTGGGTGACAATGAGATTGGCTCTCATATCCTCATCGTATCTGTTACTGTTTCACTCTCATTTCTACTTGAGATATCAAGGTGGGGTTTTGTTTCTCATTCGTCAAAGAGCTAAAACTAAAGCAGTGTATAGTAGAGAAACATGAAGTAACTTGCTGATATGGGAAAAGTATGGATGTGGGATCAGCTATTCTGCAAGAAGTTTTCTCTACGAACTCTCCCCTTCTGACAGTTACTATTTTCTTTCCATCTCTCCCTGTTCTCAATGCTCTGTTGTTGGAACTGGATTGGTCCTTGGAGTCCAATGTCCACCTGCCATCCCAGGCTCCATACATACAGGCTGAGTGAGTTATCATATAAGCGGGTCCCGGAATCTTTAAGATAATTCTGCTGTTCACTAAACAAGTATCACCGCTAGAGTACTCTCTTCCGGTGGCATAGGAAGTGGGAGACTGAATGTTGAACTTGAGACTAATCTCTGTTGCATGCGTTATATAAGCTAAGCGTTATGTTAAGTACTTTATGTACACTTCCTATATTATCTCGTTTTATTGTCCAGCAATCTTGTGAGGTTTGTATCATCATTTTGTAATGAAGAAAACTGACACTTATGAAAGTGCAACTTTCCAATGACCCTAAGGCCAGTAGCAGAGCCAAGATTTTTAATCAGAGCAAAGACACATGGCTCTGAGCAAATTCACAGCAGGATGTCATAGGGAAAATGGTACCAGGTACTTTATTTTGGTCCCTTGTGTGAAACAAGGTAGACTAGTAGCATAAATTGAATTAACACCAATTGCATTATCCTGCTGAATACAATACTGAGTTGAAGCAGATTTTAAAACACGAGTTTTCTAAGACTGGCTATTGTCATTTGTTAACATTTTAAAAAGACTCACTTTGGCCTACATACTGATCCTTTTTGGTATGCATTAGGTAAATGAATCATTAAACACAAATCCAATGTGTGCATTGAGAAAGATTTGAAGTAAAGAGTTTGGCAGTAAGCCTAACCTACTGCAAATTGCTTAAAAGAATAAACCAAAATGCATGAGAGACAGCAATGTACATGTACAGCAAGACTCCATGCTCAGTGAGCCACCAGAATCCCCATCAAGGTGAAATCATGCTGCAAGTTAAATCATGTTTGCATGAGAGCTAAAAGATTAACAATTAAATAAATACCAAAGTCAGTCGTGTGGTAAAACATCAGAACGCAGAACCACTGAAAATACATGAAGCGTAAGAGGATACATGTCAAAAGAGACACAAAAGAGAAGATTAACAAAAAGTAACATTTTCAGGGAAACCTGGTATCAAAATAGATGGGAATAAACACTGCTTTGCTTTGCTTCAGAATAACCTCAGGCATTCAGCCTTCTTTCTACTCTTCTAGTCACATATGGCTAATTGTAGGAAAGAGTTCTAAGAACAGACTAATGGTATGAGTAAGCATTTACCCCCTGCTCTTAATGTTTCCAGCAGAGGAACTTTTGGTAGCTTGACACTCTTGGCCTTTCGCCTTCTCTTAAGAAGCAATGCTTAAGATTGAACTTAACAAAAAAGTATTATTATAAGGTCCATTTATTTGCCAGCTAAGCCAAACTTGCCAGATCTGGTTTTCATTTGTAACAAAACTGACCCAGCCATTTGACTCCTGCATCTAGTCTAAGTCTCCATTAGTTTCTCAATCAGGTAGAAAAGAAAAGGTATACTTTTTTCTTTCCTAAAGTTCAATAGCTAAGACTGATTATAGGGGTGTGGGTATAATATCTTATAATATCTTATAAATCTTTAAACTGTACATTATGACCACTCATGTATGTATAAAACCTATCCATTGACAACTACTATAAAAAGGTTGTTTGCGCGGCGCCTGAGTGGCTCAGTTAAGCAGGTGACTTTTGGTTTCCACTCAGGTTATGATCTCACAGTCATGAGTTCAAGCCCCGCATCGGACTCTGCGATCACAGCACAGAGCAGGTTGGACCCTCTACCTCCCTCTCTCTGCCTCTCCCCTGTTCACACACACACACATTCTCTCTCTCAAGAATAAATAAACATTTAAAAAAATTTAAGTTGTTTGCTTTATTTAATTTTGATTTTGGTATTTGATTTGTAGGTACTATGTAAAAAGGATATAGAATGACCAGTGAGGATTAAAAAGGGCAAAGAGAGGAAAACAATCCTCTGGAGGAATTCTTGGGTGAGTAGGTAGGTGGCCGTGTCAATCTCATTATGCCCTGGGATGGCTGTAGAAAGACAAATGGTGAGGGTGAAGCATTTATTAAAAATAAAAATAAATGTGAAGTTGAAATACTAAGTTTTCAGATGAGAATAATCTGATCATATCCTATAATTCCACTAAAATTATACCAATTTCAACAAATAATTCTCTAATGCTAATGAATCATTTAAATTTATTCTTCAATGCCAAGGAAATTGATGTTATACTAGAAAGTTTCCTACTTGGGCATGTACATGACAAATTGTCTATTAAAGAAGTATGAAAAAAAAAGATGATTGAATACGAAGAAGAAAAGGCCAAAGTCAAGCAAAGGGTTCACTTTTGACACAAATGAAAATGAAATCTAATGTAATGCAATACTTGCTATGACAGCCTAATTTCCATAGTATTTTGAAATATAATAACTTTGTGGACAATAACAATAGCTTAATATTACTACAATTAGGTAATATGTCCCAATCCCAATGCTAACTGCAAGGCTTCTCAATTAGAACTCACCAAAATGCATCATTTTCCTTAAGCTGGATAAGGAAACAGGATGGAAAAGGTCATTTTGTCAGTGTCACATGGTACAGTTGGGAGAGCTGGGACTCCAACCCAGGTCTCTCAGATCTCAAGCCTGTGACCTCTGCGCTATGCCACATTTAATGCCTTACACATTTCTAAAATAAATTTCTCCATCTTTTCTTCTACTGTTTTCCTTTCTCAATTCCCCATTTCTGCACTCATTCACCTGACTCCTCTGGATCAGCCTTGATGGAGTCCCACAACTGCATTCCATCAGCCCCCAAGTCTACATCTACTCTCTCCTGCCTGTCCCACCCTGGGAGGTTCCCATCACTTCTTTCCTGCAACAGCAGCAGAAGCGCCCATACATTCATACTGCACGAACAACCTTTTTAATCTTGTTTACACATATATCATTGTTTTTTAAATGTTTATATTTGAGAGACACAGAGAGGGAGTGTGAGCGGGGGAGGGGCAGAGAGCAAGAGGGCAGAGGATCTGAAGTGGGCTCTGTGCTGACAGCAGAAAGCCCAATGCAAGGCTCGAAATCACAAACCATGAGATCATGACCTGAGCCGAAGTTGGACGCTTAACTGCCTGAGCCACCCAGGCACTCCTATATGTGTGTGTGTGTGTGTGTGTGTGTGTGTGTGTGTGTGTGTGTGTGTATACATACATATATATATATATATATACCATTATTATATATATGGTATATATAATACCATATATAATGGTATATATAATACTATTATTATGTTCCACATAATCCATTTCATTTTGCTAACAACTTTCAACAACCTTTTTTCCTTATAAGGAAAGGCGAACTATGAAGGATAGTTTTTTTTCTGTAAAGGGTCAACCAGGAAATATTTTAGGCTATATGAATCACATGGTCTCTTGCAACTGTTCAACTCAGTTAATACAGTGCAAAAGCAGCCAGATGACAATTTGTCAATGTGAGCCACAGACTCACATAAGTGAGTGTGGTCCTATTCCAATAAAATTACACTTAGGAAAACAAGACAATGGGCCAGATTTGGCCCACAGACTATGTAGTTTATCAGCTCCTGGTACAGGGTAAAATAAAAATAAAAACTTTCACTTGTTCTTCAGGGCCTTTATAAATTAATAAAGTAAAGTAAATACTGTTAATGAAACATTTAATTCAGCACGTCAAATTGCTACGGGAAAGGCCTACTTCATAGCCTTTCTTTCATGGTCAAATGTCATGAAAGAATTATGTACACAAAATATTCACTTTTCCCTGTTCTAACCACCACCCTTCATTACATTCTGCAACCTTGCTTCTTCCACCCCCACTAATGTTGGTGACACTAAGAGTTTTATAGTTAGAACTGAGTTCATATACCAGCTTATTAGCTATTTGACCTTGGGTAATATATTTAACATCTTTGATTCTAGGTCTTTTCGTCTGTAAAATGAGTATAGTAATAATATTGCTATCGTGAAGACTGAAATAAACAGTCACATAAAATGTAAAATAACATAGCCACATATATACATTGCAGATGATAATGAATGTTACCCCCCTTTTCTTCCCCCTCGCTCAAGTCACCATTAACAAATCTAATCCACAGCTTATGGGCTTTTTTAAACTTGATTCTTCTGATTTGATGATGTCGATCACTCTTTCTTGGAAAGCTTCCAAGAGCACCTGCTATCACTCTGACTGCTCTTTCTCAGTCCTTTTGGCCAGCTCTCTTTTCTCTGCTTAGCTATCTATATAACCTTCTGCCCAAAGTGGGCTGTCTCTTGATTTTCTTAGGCCTGGCTCCTTCCTGCCATATGGACCTTACCCATCACATCCCAGAGAGGCTCCTGTGGTCGCCTGATCCACATTAGCCCTATGTTACTGTCCCTCCCATCAACCTCTTTCAACTCTCTGCATAACCTTTGTCACTAACTGATATTTCCTTCTGGGTTTTATTTGTTTATTATCTCCCTCCACCAGAATGTAAACTTCAAGCACCCATTCATCACTCTTTCGGAAGCATTTAGAACATTACCCGGTATATAGCAGGTGCTCAATAAGCACTTCTATAATTGAATTGTATCGACATCTGTATTCCCCTGGGTTCTGACCTTAGCCCATATGTCCCTGAGCAAAACGATCTACTCCCAGAACTTTGAGTACAAAAATGATTACAATCATGAACCGTTACCTCTCACCCCCAGAAACCTCCCTTCTTTTCTCCCTTCACTTTGACTGCTAATGCAGTTATTTTTCTAACTTGTAAATCTGATCTCTGAACATCTTGAATTAAAATCCTTCAGTGGTTCCTCACTGCTTGCAGAACAAAATGTAGATTCTTAAATTTATCAGACAAGATTCATCCCTCATCTAACTTTCCAGTGCTCTTCTTATCACTTCTCCAGATAAAAAATATTAATGGTTTGCTAAACTTTTATTGAGTTCCTACTGTGAATACAAAGACTGAAAAAAACAGAAATGCTTCCTTCCCACAAAAAGGAGGCTTTGTAGAAAAAAATCTAACCCCAATAAATTAAAGGAGAAGAGAGTTTCTCTTTATTGGGAGCCTATTTGTTTCCTAGAACTGATCTCTGTACAGGTTCCGTATATTTTTTTCATTCAATTTTTATTGCAAAGAGATTGTTATTATTATGTTATTTATCTAATGAAGTAACTAATATGTACGTTCCTTAAGGTCAAGAATTTTATCTGTTTTATTCACTTCTGTTTGCCCAACACTGTAGTGGGCATGTGAGAGACTCTCCATAAGTATTCTTTAAATAAATGGAGAATTAGAGAAACTAATTAATTTGTAAGTATTAAATGATCAAAAAGCCACATGTTGGGATACCAGTCAGGTTTACTTCAGACCCTTTACTTTTCATAATCATATACCATGAGGTTTGGGACTGAATATTTTTTTTTCATCTTGTAATCAGTGCATGCATAGAACTTGGTACAGGAAAATAACTAGGAAATCTTCTTTAATAAATAAACTCGCAAGGTTCTTCCCTCATAGAATAGATACCAAAAATATATTTTATAACATGATCTAAAATACTTCTTTCAAAATTATCAAATCATGTAAATGGATTAACAGAGAATAAATGGACACATTTATTTATGTCATGTAACACTGATATTTTAGATACTCACATTTCAAAGTAATACATATGCTATCAGACATCACTGCCCAACATGATATTCTAAGATAGACCCTTGTGTCTATTATAGAAGATTTATCCATGGAGTATGTGCATATACTACTCTGCCAATTATTGACTCCATGATCCTGATGCCGTGTCAGAAAGAAGCCCAATATTTTTTTCTGTTTCTGGATGATTCAGCCTCCTCAGTAATTCAACTCAAATCTTAGTGCAACTCAGAAACTATTGCCATCTTCATTACCTATGTCAACTCTGTTTTAATTTACAATTCGCTGTTTTATTTTGCTGACTAAATATATAGGAAAATATTTTTTCAAAGCCATAATATGAATTTTAACACTAACAAAAGTGATAGCTTTTAAGAAAGGCTTAAACAACTGTTTTATACACATACACATTTTTTTTCTCTAAAAAGCACTGAGTCTAAGAATTGAATTGTTATATGTATGTTTCTTGCTATAATAACTTCTGAAGTTACTCATACTGTTTTCCACTTCTTTTTTTTAACTTTTTTTAAAAATTTATTTTTGAGAGACAGAGAGAGAGCATGAATGGAGGAGGAGCAGAGAGAGAGGGAGACACAGAATCTAAAACAGGCTCCAGGCTCTGAGCTGTCAGCACAGAGACCAACACCGGGCTCGAGCCCACAAACTGCAAGATCATGACCTGAGCTGAAGTCAGACACTTAACTAACTGAGCCTCCCAGGCGCCCCTGTTTTCTACTTCTTAATCCAAAAGTCATTTTTACCTTCCTTCTACTAATCATTAACCCATCCTAATCCTTACTAACCTATAGCATCCAAACTGTTTTGGGTTCATGTGCCACCTGGTGGTAGAATACTGTCTGAACCAACCATGTTCCTCCAAGGTCTCCATTTGCAGAGAAATTCTACATAACCGAGTGTCACTGTTGCCTTCTTTGCTTCTTTCTATATCTTAATTGCACCATAATCTCCTACTCAATGTACTCCTATAACCCTTTGAACCCTCTTCCTCTTTCCGTCTCAATTGCCTCCATTTCCTCAAGGTGTATGTCTGTTTTCTCCTTCCCTCTGTTGCAGTTGAGCATTTAAACAAGCTTCCGGGGGCACCTGGGTGGCTCAGTTGGTTAAGCGTCCTACTTCAGCTCAGGTCATGGTCTTATGGTTCATAAGTCTGAGCTCTACATCAAGCTGTCTGCTGTCCACAAAGCCTACTTCAGATCCTCTGTCTCCTTCTCTCTGCCCCTCCCCCCTAAAAAATAAAATAAACATTTAAAAACACACACACACACACAAAACCCTTCTGGTGTATGGTTGATTAGCATATCAAGAGTGCTGGTGCAGGGCACCTGAGTAGCTCAGTCAGTTAAGCATCCTACCTCAGCTCAGGTCATGATCTCATGGTTGGTGGGTTCGAGCCCTGAGTCAGACTCTGTGCTGACAGCTCAGAGCCTGAAGCTTGCTTCGGATTCTGTGTCTCCCTCTCTCTCTGCCCCTCCCCTGCTTGCTCGCTCACTCTCTCTTTCTCTCTCTCTCAGAAATAAATAAACATTAAAAATTTTTTTTTTAATTTAAAGAGTGCTGGTGTTATTAATATATCCAAGGAGATGGAAAACATGAAGTCAAACTATGTGCTTATAAATTCATTCTGATAACAAACAACAAAAAAGTCTCTCTCATCATTCCGTTTGCAGAAAAGTAATTCTTTTCCTTAGAGATAATAACAGTTAATATAATTTCACATATACATAGAAATATTACTTTCCTCCACAAAAATCATAACTCATTATTCAGACCTTCCTAGGCCTTGTTCACTCCCACAATAAATATTTTAGCGATGTTTTCACACAAGTACACAAAGAACTGCCACATCCTTTTTAAGTGTTGCACAGTATTTCACTGTGTGGTTGTGCCTCACGTATGTGACAAGTTCTCCAATGAAGGATTTTTAGTTGTTTGTTTTTTTTCCCTATCTTTGGCTACTACAAAAAGTGATGCATTTTGCCAGTCTAGGTAGTTGTAAAATGAACACTTTGAAATCGTCACTGAGTCCTAAGGGTAAGGGCAGAAAATATTAAAAATTTGAGATAAAATGAAGATGAAAAGCCAGTACCCTAAACACAACTTTCAGACTCTGCAAAATCATTCTTATCTATACCCTTATCCTAACTGCATTAACTTTTCTCAAGCATAAACAAGTGTGGCCTCTATTTCTAACCTTATGTCTTTGTAAAAGGCTTTGCAGTTCTAAACAATTGACTTAGAACTTTTGGGAGAATATGTATTTGTAAAGATAAGATTTCCTGCAGAAGACATTATTTGAACTAGTCATTAGACTAAAAATCTTATAAATTCACAATTTGAAAAGGGTACTGCTTCAAATGAATATGGTTTTCTTCCTTTTCAGAAGTAGCTATTAGAACAGGTATCAGTCATGAATAAGGACTATAATAAACTGGTACAATGATGTTATATATTCTATTACCATCGTTGTTTAATTCATTTAAGAGATAAGTCAATAGAAATTATGCCATATGCTTAAACATACAGACACATACATTTACACTCTTAATCTGTATATTATAGACTCAGAATTTTATGGCTGCAAAGGAGGTTAAAGATACACCAGTTTTTTTTAATTGTCTTTTAATGTTTATTTATTTTTGAGAGAGAGAGACAGAGTGTAGTGGGGGAGGGGCAGACAGAGAGGGAGACACAGAATCTAAAGCAGGCTCCAGGCTCCGTCTGAGCTGTCAGCATGGAGCCCGACACGGGGCTCGAACTCACGAACTGCGAGATCATGACCTGAGCCAAAGCTGGACACCCAACCAACTGAGCCGCCCAGGTGCTCACCCAAGATATGCTAGTTTAATATTCTCATTTTACACCTGAAGAAACAGAGAATGAGAGTGATGAAGTATTATAGACAAGGCATATATCCACGTTTATCAATAGTAATATTAATAATAGCATGGATTCAATGTGTGCTTATGTCTTTGGCATTGTTAAATGTTTTATGTGTATTTACCCATCTGGTCCCCATAAAGATAGACTCTATTATTGTCTATTATTATTTAAACAGGTGAGGCTTAGGGAAATAAAAAGAAATCACAATTTGAAGCTGCTTTAAGTGGTAAGACAAGAGACTGAATTTGGGTTGCTTATTAATCCTAATTTACATATTTATTAAGTCCCTCTGTTTATTAATTAAATCCACATGTTTATGAACAATCAACATTATTTATGCACACTCTCCTGACCTAGGCAAATGGAAACAATTAAATGTGGCAGGAGAGAATGAAGAAGATAAAATTTGGATTGAAGGTGGAAAAAATAAAAGCAGTGGAAGGGAAGAGATCACTGAGGTAACAAGTAAAGACGTTTTAGCATTTAACATACATAATTTTCTGCCAAAAACATGTTTTGAGCACGAGGTCCTTAAAGATTAATGATTACACAGTCAAATGTAAGAAATCAACAGATAAATCTAGACAGTTGGTTTTGAACTGTTTTTCCTCTAAGTCTCCAAGCCCAAGCTTTTAAAATTTCAGGGGGATCCGTTAGAAAAGTGACTAACTTAAGGCTTTGGGAGGAAAGCAAATTTCTTATCATGACCGAGAAAATTTTCATTTGTGAGTGGCTGTTTCAAAACCCTGCAAAGGTGGAAATTTAGATAGCTAGGTAAATTCCACAAATATTCCTAAATGTTGCAAGTCTCATCTCACTGAGATGAAAGTCAGAATGAAAAACTAACTGGAATTTTGATTTTTCTAGCATTAATTTTGACATATGGCATCTAAAATTACTCTTTGCATTTGTAACGCAAAACCCCTGCACAATCCTTGTGAATGACCAAACAATTTTGTGACTGATTGTTTTATTGAATAGATTCAACAAATAGTTGTGCGGTTACTACTGGCATATCTGTTCGTCATGTGTCAGGTACAGCAGTAAATAATATAGACAACTCTTTCTGTCCTCATGGAGCTTACTTTCTAGTGTGGGAGAAAAGATACCACGCAAAATTGATATGGAATACATACAGTTTGTTAGATAGTGGAAAGGACAATGGGAAAAAATAAATCAAGAAAGATAAATAGGGAGTCAGGGGTACAGTTTTAAATAAAATAGTCCTGGTATTTAAAAAAAAAAAAAAAAGAGGTGATAGGATGAGTCATGTGAATATTTTGGGGAAAAGCATGTTGGGAACAGCAAATGCACAGGCACTAAGGCAGGAGCACGTCAGATATTTTCAAGGAAATGTGAGGGGGCCAGCTAGGGTAGCTGTAGCTGAGGGAGGGGAAGAGAGAAGGCTGGAGGTAAGATCAGTAAAAACATGAGGAGTTCATCTTCAAAGCCTTTTAGGTCATCGTAAGGACGTTGGCTTTACCAATGAGGAAAAAACAAAGCCACTGGAGAGATTTAATGAAGAAAACATCCAAGAAATACATCCAGGCTGTAAGAACAACAATGATTCCAAGTGTTTCTGTTACATTATTCTGAGAAGAGAATAAAGTCAAATAGCTTCAGAAGGAGACTGAACAGCCTTCACCATGGCCAGCAATGGAATCAGCATCCATAATATGCGTTATGGAACATGTGATGGTTTATTTTTTTTAATTTTTTAAATGTTTATTTATTTTTTGAGGGAGAGAGAAAGCATGAACAGCAGAAGGGCAGAGAGGGAGGGAGACAGAATCCAAAGCAGGCTTGCTGTCAGCTGTGAGCAGAGAGCCCGACGCAGGGCTTAAACTCACGAACCACGAGTTCATGACCTCAGCCAAAGTCGGATGCTCAACCATCTATCTCAGCCACCCAGGTGCCCCAAACACGTGATGGTTCAAACCATGTATCTGGTTAAGTTGGAAACTGTTTCCAAACTCCCCTTCCCTGTATGATTGCCAATCTGGTTGGCCAGAAGGGGAGTTTACGTGGGATTTTGGAAGGTGAAAGTAGAGCAGTCCAGGAGTCATTACTCAGTGAGGGTCACCGTCATCAGACGCTATGATTGACAGGTGCAGAGGTACCTGGCAGGTTACAGCCTGTCCTAACTCTCCTCCACTACATCTAGCATCTTCCTCGCTGTTGACCCTTTTAATCCAACAGTGGGCCACAACCAGGCACTTCATTGTGGAAATACAGAGGTGGCAATTTATCAGAGGCAACATTTGCCTAAAGACTCACATGTAAGCTTCTTCTTGGCCGTCCAACTTGGTAGCAGGAAGTGTGTGCTTTTTCTGATTGATTGCTTCTCTGATGATCAAACTCTCATTTCTGACCTTCACTTCCATGGCTCCTCTCACAGTAATGTAAGGTCTAATTTCTTTGATCAATTCTTTATCCCTTAACACTCATAAGTGACCACTCATTAGTGGACTTTCTTGATCCAGTCCATTTACAGAAAATTATCCATTTGCTTCAACATTTGATAAGCTTAGCATTTACTGGCAAATTTTGGAAAATTGTAAAATAAACATGTATCCTGCACAGGATGTGTTGGCTTAGGCCAATGATGTTGTGAGATATTTTCAGGAAGGCTTTATTGTAGCAGACAGAATATTGATTTCATAGCCTGATCCAAAGTTTAAGAATAACATCTAATCCTAACTTCTGCCTCCGAATGGTGTCAATTTGGAAAATGAGAGCAGATGTTGACAGAGATGTATTTGCCAGTCTGATGCCTCAGCAAACACTGTGAAGGGAAGGCAACGTAAGACTAGATTGAATAAATATCCTCTTTTAAATTTATTTTACCAATCCCTTTAGCTGTATCCCCCAAAGGTGACATCTCTAAGATGATGAATACAAAAAAGTGTTGTCATTAAAACTCAGCAAAGTTCTTACACCTTTTACTCACAGCCTTGAACATGAGATACCTACATTAAAGAGAATTTTTCTGCATGTTTCAGTTTGAAATGTAAATGAATGTCTGACTTATTCATCAGTAATTCCAGACTTCAGAGTTTCTTCTTTCTAAACGTACTGAGCGCATTCCAGTTGCAGCTCAAAGAGCTAATAACTACTATGTCTGAGTAAAACAAATGTTGATCTCCTTTGGGGGAAAAAAAAACAAGTTTGAGAAATTGCCTTGATTTTTATTCAAGCAAAACTCCCATTTAGTCTGAATTTACATTGTTGCTACAATTTGGATTTTGTGAAATGCGGACTGCTTGTAGAACAGCCGTGGAACTCTTCAGCAAATTAAAGATTTAAAAAAAGAGCCATCCCTCAATGCTACTAATACAAAGTTAACAAGAATTTATTGAGCTACTATATATTACAGATTCTCTATTACACTGTTTTATTTAATCCTCTCGACCATTCTGTGGTCTGGTTTTACAGAATATGGAGGTTCTGAGAGATCGGTTTGCCCATATTCTTAGCATCAATGAGTGGCAGAGCCACTCTGTAGACGCTGGCCTATTAACTACAGATTAGCACTCCTTTCTTCAAGCTCTGTATGTTCGGTATGGAAATAACAATACTGACCCCAATATTTTATTTCTTTCTCATTATCATTACCAGGATATGTTCATTCTCCTATTGTCAATTATATAGCCACTGACTTGAGCACCGAATAATTAACTTTTAGTTGAGTGGCTTTGTGTTTAATTTTATTCAAATATTTCCATCAAGTAGTGGAAAACAGCTTAAGCCTGAGGACGCCAGAGCCACTCCTTGTCATACCTGGCAACATAAGGCAAATGACTCTCTGAGTTTCATTGTTCGCATCCACAAAAAGAGCAGGTGGATCACCTTACCCCAGGATTGTAGTGACAGCCAAATGTAGTCAGGTAGTCAATAAACATGAGATTCCCTTCCTTTCCTAAAAACTCCATAGGCGGCACTAGTTGTTCTGGATAATTTCAGTACATACTTCAGGGAAAAGGGTGTCTTTGGCAACGCTGCCCTGTATTACCAACAGCGATATTTCAGAAGCTTTGAATTGAGAATGGAGTTCAGTCTGGGCCAGTGGGATAGAATGTCTTTTAACTGCTGGTTAACCTCCACAGTTATGACCAGCCGACAGAAGGAAGAGAGCAGGAGGAGGAAAGCTGGTGAGGTTGGTTTGGAGAGAGTCACAGTCTCCTAGACCTCTTCCAACTAGTGCTACCAATCTGCCAGGAACAGCTGACATGGGCCCAGTGAGAATAGGTTCCGTTATGCAAAGAGTCTGCACTACTTCCTCATTTTCTTTTATTTTTACAAATCCATCTAAAATACTGTCATCTATACATATATTTCACTTTTGAAAGAAAATATTTGCTTGTCATGAAACAGCATAAATCAAGAAACACCAGTGTTTTTAAGTGCTATGAATCACATTTAGCCTGAAACAAATACCCCAGTTAGCAATATTTGTTCTTAAGATTGATGAACTTAAATATAACACTTTAATAAAACCCATACTCTTCTATTAACATCTTACCCTATCATTGTAGCTCCTGCTTCTATGGTCGTTTTTAGTATATTCCCTCCACGTCTTATTTTCTATCAAAAGTTTTTCAACAGTTCACTGCTTTATTGATTTGTGATCATAATTTGCTGTTGGCTAGTTATCCTGATTTTCTTCACTGGAGTTTTTGCAGTCATTTAAATGTGACTTTCTCAACATTCAAGTAAGGGAGTTAAAAAGGAAGCCTTTCTCCATTTGGATTTTCCATTTTTCTGGAGTGTTTGTTATGTAGGGGGAGCAGAAATGAGTGGGATTATTGTTTTAGTTGTTGTTTTTGTTTATTAGTCGTTGATTTGTTTGGTTCTTTTGGACCACTTTCTCAGTAAAGAGTCTGAGACCAGTGTTGCTTAGAATTTAGAACCCCCTGAATATGGGCATTAATTTGAGACTGCGCCACTTTAATTGAGCTATTGATTTTCCAATAATTTAATCAGCCCCTCTTTTTAATGGCTCTGAAACCTCTACTAAAACTAGTAATATGAGCCAATATTCACAGAGTACCTACTATGTGCTAGGCACTATTCTATGAGCTTGATTATCACCTTTTCCTTACTACAACCTCAGAAAAAAACAAAAACAAACAAAAACAAAAACAGAGATAAAGCTGTCACCCATCCAAGGGCACACAAGGATATAAAATCCAAAGTGGTCCTAGAGCCAGGATTTGGACCCTGGGAGTGTGGTTTCAGAACTCTCACGCTTCTATCAGGAACAAAGCAAGCTTAAAAACGCATGTGGTTTTTATAGATTGTTTCAGTAAATGTTGGTATATTGTTTTTGAAAGTTCTGTGAAAAAAGTATATTTATAATAAAGTATTTTTATATTACGCTTTCATTCTAAGTAAGAATTCCAAATATAAGCTACTGTTAACATCAGTGCACTTGAATTTATCAACACGAAGTACCTTA